GTGTAATATACATGTATATATTGCGATGGTGACAGGAAATACGTTTACAGTGTTGAATTCACACGTTTTTTCCTCATTTTCAAAGCATGAGAAATTTCTTGGGTTAGGACCACGTATCTGTTGATGAAAGCAGTATATTGTTGACATGTATGTGAGCCGTGATGAAATAAATGTAATCTCGTTTGAAAATTAAAAGTTTCAAAAATTAGTTTAACATTTATTTTCCGTTTCTTTTTATCAATGGGTTGTTTTGTTGTCCTCTTTATTTGATGAACAATCAGTATCTATTCTGTGTGTTTTGATGAAAAATGAAGATTGTTTTATTGATATCATTTTTAAATCGTTCTTTATATATAGATTTATTCATTCGAACAACTTGGTATTTTACATACACGTTACACAAAATAAACGTGAGCATCACCTTGTTTTAATTATCAAAGTAGATCGCTTGTTTTGGGAATATATTTGTTTTGAATTGGCTTAATGGGTATATAAGTATATGATTACCTTACACCGCATTGTTTCTGTTGTCATAACCTTGAACTATTTGCAATCCTCATTGCAAATATAGTATACAATTATCCTTTGACACATTCTTATTACAAAAGACATTTAAACATTGACAAAAACATATGGCTTATGCCCCAATTCTTTTTAAAAAACATAAAAATGGTCGAATTATTTGCTTCTCTCACATTTTAAATGTGTAACTAGACCAAAACTATTTAGGACATGTCAATCCTATTATTAAATTTCGCACGAATGTTTTTTTCAAACAATAGGCCGATATCACTTCCGAATAATATACGTTTTTCAGTAGAACTATTGAACAATGAAAAGCATATGGAAAAAAAAAACAATTTATAAATGTTGTACTCTGAGCTCTTTTCGGGAGCTACCTTCTTTCGGTCAAAATTAAATAATTTGAAAGCCAGGAATGTGAAATACGGTAACATTTGTTTTATGCCGGAGTTGTATGACAAACAGAGATTCATGTTCTGCTGACCATTATGCATTTGGTTTGAATTCGTGAACAAATTGGCTTAAGTGTTTCTTGTTTCACATTTTTTTTAATATTGATTAGACCGTTGGTTCTGTGTTGAAGGCCTTACTTTGACCTATAATTGTTTACTTTTAACACTTTATGACTTGGATGGATAGTTGTCTCATTGGCACTCATGCCACATCTTATTATATTCATTAAAGATCAAACAAACCTGTTAGAAAACGTATTACGTGAAAAGAAGGTTGGAGATATGTTAGAAGAGTGAATTTGCAAAGATAGTAAGTGAATTGCTGGATTTACGACAAAAGAGATGATTTCAGCTTCCCTTTTATGAACTTTTCATTACTATGTAGCAACATTCCAGCAGCGCCTTCATACGGAGTATATATCTCCCAATTGATACGATATATTCCCGGGCTTGTATTTCCTATCATGATTTCCTTGATAGAGGGTTGCTGCTCACAAGGAAGTTATTAAACCAAGAGTTCCAAATGGTGAAGTTGAAATCATCCCTTCGTAAATTTTACGGACGCCATCACGAGTTGGTTGACCGTTATGGAATAACCGTTTCACAGATGATATCGGATATGTTCCTTATGTCGTAACTACAATCCCCTTCCCTTTTCACGAATGTGACCTACCTAAATAGACTATTTAACGGGTTTGTAATAACATGAGCAACACAACGGGTGCAACCTGTGGAGCAGGATTTGCTTATCCTTCCGGATCACCTGAGATCACCCCCAGTTTTTGGTTGTGTTCGTGTTGCTTTGTCTTAAGTTTTCTATGTTGTGCCTTGTGAACTATTATTTGTCTGTTTGTCTTTTTCTTTGTTAGCCTTGGCGTTGTCAGTTTATTTTCGATCTATGAGTTTGACTGTCCCTCTTGTATCTGTCGACCCTCTTTTACCTAAAATATCCTGTCAGATGCATAGAATATTCTAGAATTGATTTTGGTTTGATATCATGCATCTGGAAAAGTACTAAAATATTCTATTCAATAATATTTTTTACAAGTTTTTAAAGAAATGAAAACAACAACTACCGTTATTAGTTTTTCAAGGTAATGCCAAATGTTTTTAAACTATGCATTTTAAAAGATAATCAACTGACATTGATCTTTCTTTTAAAAAGGAGCATACGGTCTAGATTTGATCCAATGGTGATTTATATTTTTATTGTATAAATACGCCTAATGTATACATAATTCTTTAAAACAATTCATATTATTGATTGTTCATGAGTTTAGAAAACAACATCTGTTGTTGTATACTTTGTGTCATTAAAACTCAAAACCAATTCATTGATAATTCTACATGAAAACATCGTTATGAATAATTGTTAACAAACTAAACCAAAAGCCATTCTATAAAAAAAGGTCCTTGTTTTGTTTCCATGCAAAAGAAATCAGTGGATTAATACATATTAAGCCTATATGGTACATTGGGACGGTCGCACAATAATAATTGCATTACTATTTTCTCCACAACTCAGGCAGTTTAGAATAATAATTTTAATCTCTGTATCTTTCTTTCTTGTCTTTTATCCATAACAAAAAGCATTTAAAATATTAAGTCATCTGATGCTTGTTCTTGTCATAGGATTTCAGAATATTTTTATTCAACACACATTGTAAACTAATTTATAGATAAAGTGACATTTGCCTTTAAATGATGGACATCTGAACCGAAATTAAAAGATATCTTCCTCTTTATATATCAGCAAATATATGTAAGTGTTTATCAATTTGATATAATGTTCTTAGGTTTTCTGTTCAAATCAAAGTTTAGTTTAGTGTCTGTACATGTAACATAAACCTTTAAAGCTGTATCTTAACATCAATGTTGATGCGTCTAGCATCCATCTTAACCATCCATCAGATTGCATCTTCAAAGAGTAATATTTTCAAAGAGTTCACTTTCTTTTGCCTTGACCATGTTGACTGTAATCTTGGACTTAAAATGATGTTGCTAATTTCTCTAATTAGTCTTTGATTCCATGCTGTGATTTTGAAAAATAAAACACAAATTACAAATGCGTCCATCTGTTTTAGATTGTATATAGCCTAAGAATATTTTTTTTCGTGAATTAATCACCACATCTTTAGTATTCATTAAGTAGTTGGTTAATATATTGTTTTATAAATTCATACTAATATAGAATAGCAATGAACACGATGAATGAGTTAATTATTAAAAGTAATCATTTAACCTTGCATACATGTTAAAAATAAATTGTCAATTTGATAGTATGCATACGCATCTGTTAAAAATGCTAAAGGTGAAAATGTTATATTTTTTTTATTATATGGGCTATTGTTAGTGGAACTAGCATATCATAATTTGACTTAATATATGCGGATTTAAAACATAATGTAGTGACAACCAACATTATTGCATGTATGTATTTCATTGAAATTTTATCGATTGCATAGTATAAATCATGTTATGTTTCTTAGCTTGCTAGTTAAAATTATCTTCTTAATTTAAAGACTGATTATCGTTTTTCAAAGATAGACACCTGAGTTCATATAGCCAACCTCCAAATCGCCTCTTACACAAATAGTTCTGCCAGAATGGAAAAGATCCTTTTTAACTTGTTCCTAACCAAACTTGTGAATAAAACATAATATGGAAAAGGTTTCTTCTCAGTTCAACATTTATCGAGTTATCCTTTTTTAGACATATCCTAGGCTCCCAGTACTTCAGAAATAAACGACTTATGTTTTGTTTAACAGAACCTGGTGACTACTGGTCAGCAAAATTAAATCTATAAGCTGGGGTTCTCGAGCCACACAAGCAATTAAACAGGGGTATGGTGACAGAAGCTTATCATTGGGGCTGTATTAAATGAACACACAAACACAACGACAAGGACGTAAACAGTGGTCATCAATGACACACCTTTGAATCTGTCCTCTACCTTCGTTGATCGAGTGTAGGTTTTTATTCGTTTAAGAGAACAGAAGGATCTATCAGCAGTAGCAAGTGTTACCGTCAAACTCTGTAGTACCTTAGGAGCTCATAAAATGTTGGGGGTACAATTCATGGTTTGCATGCTTTAGCGTGTCTATCAGTGTATGTACTTGGCCTGTCAGCAACATTTTGCTATTTGCATTTCCACCTGACATTTTCTGCCGAATACGCAAACTATGTTTTTGTAGATTGACTGCGAATGTCATCATAACCTAAAGTTCTGATCTTGAAGTGAGAGAGTCAAGTTTTGATTTGCAATATAGTCAAGCAATTGGTAATATACTATATCGTCGCCAATACTCTTGGCGCGTATAAGCTGGCATATTAACCAAATGCTGTTTTCTTCTTTCTATTTTTTGTTTGATCGTTATCACATAACCACCCAATTATTCTAAGCAGATAAAAAAACATAATTTTGATAAATACAATTGTACACAATAACTGACTAAGGTCGTTGGTTTAACAAAAGCGTTTGCGTAACGATAGATAACATTAAGCCCCTCCAAGTACCTATTCATGTTATCTTAGAATAAGAACAATAAGGCACACAAAAGAATTAACAAACATCAGATCGGAAAAATTACTTACAATCTAACTATAAAATATAGGCGATATATAAGTAAATGAAACATCGATACAACAGACGTTGTATGCATGTACCGTGACGGTCTTCGAGAGGTCATTGAAAGCAGATCCTAATACTCTATAATCTACTGATATAAACACATTTATATATAAATGTGTTTCTTCTTATATAGACCACTATATTTCCTTTCAAATTGCATTTGAATACTTAAAAAATATAGCAGAGCTTAGAAAACATATTCTCCTAATTAGGTATTTATAATTTCGAAACCAAAAAAAAAAAAGATACAATTGATGATGTTTGGCGAGTTATCCGCTCTAGAAGAAAAACGTCTTGTCAATAAAATAAGTTTGTTTAAGTAGGAATAAACATTTGTTTTAGATTACGTATTTTTTTTATATTCAGTCTTGCATTACGTCTAAAGAAAATTCATTGATGACGAAAAATGGACTTCAAAAGCTTGGTTTGTGTCCTTGCATTATTATTCAACACCAATCTAGTTTTAGCAGAAGGTAAGCTTTCTTAAATTACTAAGCTGCCATAGGAATATTATTTACAATTAACATACCTTTTTACACTCAATTTTTGAAATATTAAAACATTAGTTCTCTCGTTACAGACTTCAAATACGCAAGGAATCTAATCTAAAATATATGCCGAAACAAATTCAGTATTTGACTTAGTATTATAACCTTAGACTTTTCTACACTTTACACATTCAATTATTCCCCATTTCAAACTTAATGACAAATTGAAAAAAAATGCCGAAAAAGCTACATGTACAAATATCTTGTCTTAAGGAGGGATAAATCGTACTTTGTAAAAAAAATTCTGTCTGATTCAAACAAAAAGTTATCTGAAATTTATGTCAATACAATGTATTAAGAAGAACGATTTCTTGATTTCCTACATATTTGTACAGTTTTGAGAGCATGTTTTCAAACAAAAAATCAGTATTCCATGGAAACAAACTGAGCTCCGTTTGCAGCCGACTTGTTTCTTTATTCATGAGGCTACATCCATACAGGAGCTTGGAAGAGTAAACAGAAGCTAGTCTGAACAGCACGATGGCTGCCAGATGTTGATCAGATCTTCTTACCCTGCCGATGGACATGATAGCACCTCCAGTGTTTTAATGGGGGGGGGGGGGGGGGGAGGGGGTCGTCTGCTTTAGTCTTTAATTTTCTATCTCTTTTTTTGTTTTGTATACTGTTGTCTGTCTTTCTGTCGTCTGATTTTTTTGCAATGGCGTTGACAGTTTTTTTGTTGTTTTTTTTTACTTGTGAGTTTGAATATTTTTATAAATAATTGCTAACATTTTTAATGTTGATATTTTAAAACTTTGATCACAGATAAAAACATAAATTTGAAAACATTTTAAAGTTTAAATTTGTAAAGTGTTACACGGAATTTACTATATATTACATGACTTAGGAATGCAGCCATTACTATCAGTATATTATGCCATTTAATGGATATTTACAATCACAAAATGGAAGAAAAATTAAAATTTAATAGATTTTCAAAGGAGCAGTTATATATTAATTGCGTATTCGTTATAACTTCGAACCGTTTTTTTTTGTAAATGAGTCAATAGTCAAACATATGCATACGTTTGGACCGAAGAATATACAAACTATATAAGCATGATAAGTAAACACTAATACGATTCAATGTTTTAATGTGCAGTCATTGTTGATTATACCCCTCTTACGAAAGGACCTTTACACTTTCCTTATTAACTTTCCCGTGAACGAACCACACATCAAAAAAACCTCGGATGAATTTGAAGGGCAACAAGTTCCTTCTACTCTAGTTGATACGCTAATGTTGCTTTTGGACGAAAAAAAAAAAACAAATGATATTGTTGCTTAACACTTAAACAATTAAAGTGAAATCTTAAATTTTACCGCTTATATAAAAAAAGACGTGGTATAATTGCCAAATGAGACAACTCTCCACAAGAGACAAAATGACACAGAAATTAACAATTTATGCCAAAACTTATTTCAGAAGTATCAACATAAGCACCGACACAAATTATACAAGTCCTATATATAGGTAAACATTGTAAGTAATGAACGTCCTATATGCTGCTGTGACTTAAGTTTGCTTAGGAAAAGAGATAATTAAATTGCATGGTAAATATATGAAGCAGATGTAGTTGTATTTGTTGTATCTTTTTTTAAATGATTTTAATAATATATAATTAATCAAATGATTAATAATATAAATAATACATTTTGAATTTATTAGGTCATTTTAGTCTAAAAGCATTGTATACACGTTACAATTTAGATTTGACTAATTGTATAAACCCTAAGTTGTTTATTTTTTTAAACTCTCGTTTAACGATTAGGCACATTGTTTTGTTAAATGTGGGTCCATTCTGTGTATAGCCGAAAACTACATTCTTAATTTTGTATTTTAATTATTGAAATGTATAGAAACTCATCATCAAAATTTTGGTAAGCCAGACGCATGTATTGCCATAAAAAGAAATATCAGTGGCGCTCGAATAAAAAAAGTTTAAATGAAAAAGTATAGTATGACGGTTAAGAGTGTAATTTATGCATTACATATATACATCTGTTATGTTCAAAATCTAATATTGTGCACACTGTGATTTAAACCGAATGTGTTACCAACAATTTAGTAACTACTTTTATATATATATCAACGAAACAAAGACATTTTCTTCCATTTTTCTTATTTCTGGTAGATTTAAGGACTTTATGCAACATTTTTATGATAGTGTGTCAATACAACTCATAATATGAGATTTCATCAGATAAACAATCATGCAAAATAGACCAAATCCCAATTCGAGACTATATCTTATAAGTAAATAAATATCTATGATATAAAGCTGATAAATAGTTGAAAATAAAATGTGTTCCAACAAGTGAAAAAAAAACGGAGGTCTACAAATGATTTAAAAAATAACAACTTGTACATAAAGTATTTTGATTGGATAAATATGTCATTTGAGGTAAAATACTCAACCCATTTTTGTTTTGTAATCAAACAGACCTATGGTGAACATTTGAGATAATTGCTATTTGTATTTCTAAAATTTATTCATTACTAACCCTTTATCCTTTTTTATTTAATTTCCTCATATTTGTATTTTTTAAATATTCACAAGTGATGCAGTAACAAAACTCATAGACTTTTCTTATGTGCAGATCGCAAACTGCTAGCAGCAAGTTCGAAGGAGCTGATATTCATGAATATAGATGGAACAAATCCTGAAGTGATTGTTCAAAGCGATTTGTACAATATTAGAAGTATTGCCTATCACGAGACAAAGAAATACATATATTTCACAGAATATCAATCTGGCAACATTACACGGTCAGTGGAGACATGAATTTATATCTTAAACAGATATCTTAATATTTGGTAATTCAGTTTGATCAATGTTAAAAAACATAATGATGTATGTACTATTTTAAAGCAAACAAAATGTAAACAAAACAAACAAAACAAACTAACTGTGCTCTATCATAATAAAATCAAGAATGGAAATGGGGAATATGAGACAACAACCCGACCAAAGAGCAGAAAACAGCCGAAGGCTAACAATGGGTCTTTAACACAACGAGAAAATCCCGCATCTGGAGGTGGTTTTTAGCTGGCCCCTAAACTAAATTGTGCACTAGTTCAGTGAAAAGGGACTTTTTTCTGTATGGGTCAAGGAAACAGTGTGATATCGGAGAAAATAAACCGTTAACGCATTCTTAATCAAACAGTTGATGAAAGCTTGTTCTGAATCAGTAAATTATGGTTACATAGAATAAATAAATTCTAAGTTGTCAATTATAATATCTTTTTTAATTTTATAAAATAATGCAACATACTAGTGGTCATACGTAGTTTTTATTATCGACCTTTCCAAATTGAACGAAAAAATCAACTTCATCAACAAAATAGGTCTTTGCATCAAAGTTTAAAATCATCTAGTTGAATCCTTTAGTCGTTATCTTTCCCAAAGTACCGTATATGGAAAGTTTTGCAAATTTACAATGCACAGTACCCGAACATAAAACACGATTTATTAACACCATATTGATTTATCTGCCACACAAAAAAGACACACCAAAACGAAACGCACAGAATGTTGCTCCATGCTGCAAGTTTTTATATTTGTTGTGTGTACAATAAAAATGCGGTCAATAATAACAATTTTTAGCAGTAAAGGACATAAAAAGGAACCTTACCAACTGCGTACTGCATCAACCGATATATTTAGAAGTATTATTGAACAGTTGCCACCATTTGGTATGAAATTGATTAAGTATTATCCTCAAATAAATATGTTTTCAATAATAAAAAATAGTATACGATATTTTCTTTTGCATGTAGGTTCCATTTTCCATCTGATGATTATATTATGGAAGTAATTGTTCAACAAAATTCAGGACATGTAGTGTCCAGTATCACAGTTGATTATCTCAACGATTATTTATACTGGTCAAACTCAAGCGATGGCAAAATAATAAGATCAAATCTTGACGGATCAGACATAACGCCTATACTTGATTTCAGTAGTTATGGTTCTCTAGGAATTTTAGAAGTAGATTTAATAAATGGGTAAATTTAACATTTATACTCACATACTCTATATCTAAAATTCTGATACTGATCACTTATTGACTATTTGTATTTGTTATGTATGTCCATCTTACGATATTCTATTCATTTATATTGTAAATTTATAAATTTTTACAATGTTTTTATTGTTTTGAAAATTCAGACATGTAAAAAAAGAACCAACACCTACGTTAGAATTATTAAGTCGTATTTGTCTGCAACTTTTATTAAAATGAAAATAAATCATCGCTCATTTTTGTCAATTATTCAATAATCTCATAAATAGATAAACACATAAAATATATATAGTTACTGTATATATCATAAGCATTTCCTGGATTGAAAATATACATTATTGTTTAAACAAAAGTTTAATTCTTTTTACGTTCTATATTGTTGGTCCCAAGCGTACTTATGAGTACTATACGGTGTCTTTTTGGCTAATATTTGAACGTCGCAGGATTACCTTTAAGTGTTCAAATCCACATCAATTAGTCAATGGATAGTTGTATATGTGTATGTTTTGTATAGCTAAAACATTATGGTGTTCTGTAACATGCTGTCCTGGGTTACAGAGAGGGATCGGCGACAACAAATATGCCTAGACTCACCACATTCAGGGTGTACGTACCTGTCCCTAGTCAGGAGTCTGTAATTCAGTGGTCGCGGCTGTTGCTGTATATTATTTTTGTTTTTCGTTTATTTTTTGTACATAAATCTTTCTTTTTTTAATTTCGAGGCCTTTTATAGATTATGCTGCGGTATATGTTTTCCTCGTAGTTGACGTCCGTACGATGACCTAGTGTTTTCGTGCAAAATGCATATATTTAAAGGAACCTAAAAATGCGTAGTAATTGTAGTACTCCATAGTCAATATATTGATTTTCAATGAAAAATATCCTTACGGAAAGCTGCTATAAAGTATTTATGCATACAAAGGGACATACAATGATTTGCTTTGCTCTCCCTTATCAATTCCAGAGAGAAGAAATAATGAAACAAACCAAACAATCAAACCAATCAACCCAATCACGAGAGCAGGAGATATGAAATGTCATTCGCATATAGCATTGTACATGTTGTAGATTTATCAAACACATATAATCTTAATGATTCAAAATATTGATCAGCAGATATTTCTTTGTATGTATATTTGCAATAATATTAAAAGAATGCTACGTGATTATGATTTGAAAAGATTTTTAACGAATACAATTTATTTTATCCACAAGTTGTTCAGGTAAATCAAGTTTTGATTTTTATGAATAATAAAGTGCTGGTGCATCTCAAATGTCGAAAAATATTCTACCACAACCAGATATATAAGGAATATTTGACACATGGAAAGAAACGTATTGTAATTAAATTTTGAAGTTTGCATTCCTGTTCACCTTTCAGATGGATCTACTTCATTAATGCCTTGAACGGATCAATTTTTAGATGCATGGTAGATGGATCTGACCTACAATTATTTTTTTCAAGTTGGTGGATATATGATATTGCTATTGGTAAGTCAAATGATAACACAATCGGTATCAACCAACGAACAGTAAGATTTATATTTAAAAAACACAATTGATTCTTCCTAATAAGAACGAATGCGTTCGAATAAAATGTTAGTCTAACACGGTACCATATATGAATATAAAATCAAAACAACAAGGACGCATTGACAAGCATAAAGAAAAGGCGATAAGTGTGTAATGTTTCTTCTTAAGGCATTAATGAATTATTATTAACACAGTTATCAGAAGCATGTTATCCTTTTCTACAAGTTAAAGATTTCAAATATTTTCCAAAACTGTTTGAATTTTTTCACGTTATATAATCTTGGTGATGTTTTACAGTTCTTTCTTTTACTTCTGTTTAACTGAATTTTACGGTGCTTATTGGTGTGTGTTTATTTATTCCACATTTGATATAGGTATATAGGGAGTGTTAATATCTCCAAAACATGTTAAATAGCTTGCTGTTCGGTCTGATCCAAGGCTCTGTGTTGAAGGCCGTACTTTGACCTATTATTGTTTACTTTTTACATATTGTGACTTGGATGGATAGTTGTCCCATTGGCACTCATACCACAAATTCTTACTTATATTAACTCTTTTGCATTTTTGCAATTGTCCCAAGGCAAGACGATTATTTTTTTTTTTTTCTTTATTTTGGTTAATTTAATATTTGTTCGGGTTTTTGTCTCATTTAAACATTCCCCGATTCCGTTTTCAATTCCAATTTTGCAGATAACCAAGACCAAAGAATATATTTCAGTTCTTCCCATACAGTTGGATCTACAACTTATGACGGTAATGATTTGAGGACGATACCAATAGAATATCGGTTTTGGAGTGGGCAAAATAGAATAGAACTTTCTGGTGACGTTATTTTCTATTCGGACAATTATTTAATGTATCGAGCCACCAAAAACAATTCTCAAGCAATTTGGTGGTACTTGGATGATACTATATATGCATTTAAAATTTATGAAAAGACGGGTAAGTTGTATACATGTATAACCGTTCAAGTGTGGTTAGAATAACTAAACGCCAGTTTACTACTTAAGAAATGTAATCGTCGTTATTTCCCTAAAACCTTTTACAGGGATTTTATATTTATTTTTATTTGGACGGAATGTAAAAGAGGGGCGAAAGATACCAGAGTGACATACAAGCTCATAAATCGAAAATAAACTGACAACGCCATGGCTAAAAAAAGACAAACAGACAAACAATAGTATACAAAACACAACACAAAAAAATAAAGACTACTCACCAAAAACTGGGGGTGATCTCAGGTGCTCCGGAAGGGTAAGCGGATCCAGCTTCACATGTGGCACCCGTCGTATTTTTAATGTTGGTACAAACCCGGTAATAAGTCTAATTCGGTTGGTCATATTCGTGAAAGGCGACGGGATTGTAGTAACATATCCGCTATCATCTGTGAAAGGGATAATTCATAACGGTCAACCAACTTGTGATAGAGTCCGTAAATTTTACGAAGGGATGATTTCAACTTCACCATTTGGAACTCTTGGTTTAATATCTACACGAACGATGTATTTTTTAGGAATGGGTTCTGCTTTTGACAACCCCGTAAATATGAATTTGACAGTTTGTCGGGTAACTGTGATGAGACTTGTTCTTGGACAGTCTGTATAACAGTTTTTCTGACATTCGAAAGAACAGTTTCTGATAGTGGTTCTACCCTAGAACAATTTTGGACAGTTTTAACTTAGTTAAGACTTTTATAATACGTCCTATGGTAGAACCCTCAAAAGTTGGTTTAGGATAGAACTTTAAGAATATATATTTTTGTATTTGTAATGGATACAAATGTTGTCGTTATTAATGTTTTGGCTAGGGTAGCATTTTATTATAGTAAGGGAATTAGACATTCCTGCATTTATGTCAGGAATGCCTTGTTTTATGGTTCCCAATGTAGTGTTTCATTACGGTTTCTATATATGTTTATGTAAACTCTTTACAAACAAAATATATTTTGAACGGAAGTCATTATTAAATAGTTAATATTGTGTTCTCTGTAATTGTATGTAATATCATGTATGTGCACTTCGGTGAAATATTTTACGTTAAACTGATCATCAAGATAATACTAGATTAACGGACAATATCAATTACTATAAAGGCAAAAACCTTTATTAAATCTATCACACTATAACAATTTTTATGAAACCAAAAATAACACACATTCATATAATATAAAGCACCTAAGCGGTTACCTTTACATCACAGCAATTCTTTTAATATTTAATACAAAACAAATATGGTTTGAATGAAAATAATAAATACTCATCAAATTGTCGAATGCTTCGAAATTTATAGAATACCTTGTTAAAATAATTTTATTTAAACAATTACTTGGTACAATTGGAAAGGTCTAAGGAAAATAAAATCATTGTACCTATGAATTTTTCAAGGAGACTGTAAGAAATACACAGCAATCAAAAATGAAGAAAAAAGATCAAAAGACTATCTCACTGACTTGGCAAATAGTCGATCTACAAGTGATGAATATTTAGACGACAGATGGTACAGAATTTTCAGTGCAAATGGGGATCAAATGCCATCATATCCTCCTGGTATAATGCATTGTGGGACCATCTATCCTATTTGGCTCAATGGTATTTGTCAAACAAGTCATAAATCAATAACGTTTTAAAGTACATTCATATAATTCATTATTTGGTACGTTATAATACAATGTAGTATCTAAAATGTTATTCCACATGTCATAATGTCTACACGTGAAACAATTATTATGTCGGGATGTGGATTTGCGGGAGTCATTTGATAGCGTGGATCAACAAATATATGGAAAGTAATCTTAACGTTCTAGACGTTTGTTGACCCTGTGCACTGACTTAATCTAGAACATTCTTCAAAATAAACAAAATACGTTGCATTTAACGTGTATGCTTTGTTTTGAGCAGCCACAGAAGCTATGCTTATTTGAAGGCGGAATCATCGGACACAATTTTAAAATATAAATTTCTTACAAATAATTTCGACTAATTTTGTTCCACTTGACTGAGAAGAACATGGTAACAATATGTTTTGTCAAAATTAACGGAACAAGGACGAAGATGGATGACCAATGATTGACAGCAAGTGGTTGAAATGACTAATACTGATCATTTTAGCCTTTTGAAGTTGAACAAATAAGACTTATCGACAGAGAGGTAACGCATACATATACATATTATGCGCATCAAAACAACTGTTTGCAGAAAATTGCTTTATCCCACCATATTTATAGTGTTTCAAAACATCCTATATTTAAAATAATTTGTATAGCAAACAGGTTGGTTTGATAAAAAGATTAAAAGGAGAAGAATATGTTCGTGCAACGCTGAATTCACATTTCTAGCTTAGAAGCATCAACCATGATGTATGATTGCCTTTAAGACAACTATGAACCAGAGGTTAAATGGCATAAGGTCACCGCATGATTAATGCACAAATCTTCTGCAATGTTTACGGATAATATAGTTGGTGGAAGTGTAGAAAAATAGCAAAATAATAAGATACGCTCAGCACTACGTTAAGCATGATATCTAAAGTAAATTATGTTCAAACGTCTAGGGAACACACATTTTACCACAATATAACTAACTATTACATAACATGTCAACTTAAAATATATATGTTTTCTGTTTAAACATGTTAAACCGGTCAAAAGAATAATTTAAAGTATTTGTTTATGCTAGGAACTCTACCTAGAGTGGATGATGGTAACATTAGCGGAGAAGCATGCGTTCAAAAAGAGAATGACATTTGTGAACAGTCTATTGCCATAGAAATAAAGAATTGTGGAGTATATTTTATTTATTCTCTCCAGGAAGCGCCACCGAATTCGTCATTTTGCTTCGGTATGAAAGATTTGATGTTGATTATGTGACATGTAATTTTGTCTGTAAAAACTGTAAAATGTTATCAGAAAGAATTATAAACTGATCAGAAGTAATAAGAAATCTTTGTATATTGTATCTAAGTTATAAGTTTTGCTTGAACAGAAGTGTGTTTCATCTTCAGTAAAACATATTTATAAATATAAATATTATCCGAGAGTTTCTTTTTCTGATGGCACGATCAACAAGCTAGGTTGGCCAAAATTAAAACTGTAAAAGGTCTTAGTTTCAAGTTAGTTAATTCTAAATTAAATATGTCGATTTGTTTGATTTTTGTTTATTGTTTTTTTTTTGTTCTTTTGTTACTTTTTCCATTTACCGATTCGTTATAACTGTCAGTTGGTGTATCGAAATCTGCGAATGTTTTTCAGCTTCAAAATGGTTTTAACTAAATATATTATATAGAATATGCACGAAAGATGTCATTTCACGATCCGTTTTATTTGTAAGGTCGCGCATTGGAAGACATTCAAAACAATGGAATACAAAATAAAATGGCAGGTTTGTCAATCAATTCATGCAAGACACCTTATTGTATAGATACAAATCGTGTCATTATTTCTGTAAATAAATAACAAATAGTTCATGCTCAGTTTTATTTATAGGAAGCGGTCCAGTTGTCTGTCCAGTTGGCATGTCATCTGAAACAGGTTTTTATCCTGGGTGTAGCTGTAAGTACAGATGTTTTCCCAGGTCAATAAAATCCGCAAAACATGCCAACGGCATTAGGTGTTGTGTCATTACTGTAGTAAAAAAGAATTTACCAAGTTTTAGGTAAAACATAGAATAAAAATGATTGTATTTGTTGGTATGATCGAATGACTACTTGGTTGACGTTTGATAGCAATAATTTTCATAGAACATAGTAAACGTACAATTTGCTTTAAACATATGCACACATATTTAAAATGGAATGAGGTATTATAACAGACTGTCCAATGGTAAGAGATTTTGAATGAAATTTTAATCGAAATAAAATAGTATATATACATTAGTATATCAGCTGAAGGACGCCTCCGGGTGCGGGAGTTTCTCGCTGCATTTAAGACCCATTGGTGGCCTTCAGCTGTTGTCTGCTCTATGTTCGGGTTGTTGTCTCTTTGACACATTCCCCATTTTTATTCTCAAATTATTGTCATATTTATAGTTATTACTTCTTGCATTCTTTAGAAATAAACAAAATCTTAATCATTTGACAATGAGAGACAATGTGTCTGCATTATTAGATATTATCCAGTTTAAACTTGATTTGTAATGTAGCGATCTACCCAAAGACAGTGGTGTCTGTTGTTGTACAGGCAGAACTTTTGGAAGGTTCCAGCTTCCAAATCCCTGGATACGATCCAACACCAAGTTTATTACCTGTATTTAGATGTAAGTTTCAAGAAGGATCAAATGCAACTTATATATACGACATCTTCTGGTACATAAATGGGAATAAAATCACATCGTATGCCAACATTTCAATAGAAGGTGTAACCACCACTCTTCTTAAACACACAGACTGGATAGATAATTATACGATGAATATGGAGGTAAATATATATTTCTTTTCATGTAGTGTATACTAACTTTAGATGTATCGGCCACATCATTCTACATGTATACCTACATTGTATATCATGTCACAATTCACTATGATTTTACTTATTTTCATATGACGATGTTGATTTTTATTGGATTATTAATTTCTACTACTATATACATTATGTATATCTGTGTAATTGTTGTTTTTATATCAATATATGCAACACATTGTCTTTAACATACGAATGTTCCACCTGACCTATGGTTAACAGTCATATATATATGTCAATAGACTATCGCACATGCCATTTTCAATGTGTACCATGCTTCAATTGTAGGTTCAATGTGCAGTTAGAATGAGATATTTTGTTAACTCTGTGCCTGGGCCATTTTATTACAGTGAAAAGTTCAAAGCTGGACTCTTTGTAAGTTGATATTTTTAAATATGTTGTTAAAATAGTTTAAGAGGTGTATACCCACCATTTTCCATGTCCTGTACCAAGTCCGGAAAAAAATGGTGATTGTTATATTATAGTTCGTTTCTGTGTGTGTTGCATTTTAGTGTTGTGTTTTATTGTGTGTCGTTATGTCGTTGTTCTCCTCTTATATTTGATGTGTTTCCCTCAGTTTTAGTTTGTAACCCGGATTTTTTTTTCTCTATCGATTTATGAATTTCGAATAGAGGTATACTACTGTTGCCTTTATGTATATAAACTCAATTGTTGTTTACACTTGCATTTTACAGAGTTACAATTGCGCAATGTGTTTTCCAGCTGATCTGAAATATATTTTTTGTATACAAGAACAGTGGTTTGATACGTAAACAAGACAGCAAACTAAATACAATTTCATTAAAAAAAATAAAGACATAACTTCTTCAACATTTGACAAGTAGAATGTTTAAATTGGACATAGAAAGGTCAAGCCAAATTTTCAATTTTCATCAACACTCAAATTTGTATATCGTCAAAACTACACTACAATGTGACAGTAAATGACCGAACACATGAGGTACGCAATCTATAATTTATATTAGAGTATTTTTTTACATGGTCTTCAGCATTTTAGTAACGTGTTATTGGACTACTTAAAGCATATACTTTGTTTTTTTCTTTTTCAGTGTTTTTACAATGATTGTAACTAGTAGATTTGTTTACATAAGCTAAAAATTATGATGCAAAATGAAACATTATTTTTCATAAAACGTGCAGAGATACACCTTTTTTTTAAACGCATTGTTCACTTTGTAATTTTTGTTATTGACCAGAATTAGATGAACTGGGATGATTATTACAATGAAAATGAAATAAATACATCGTTAAAATATTTCATTCACATGCACACATGGTACGATTTGTTAAAAAATGTAATTTGCAGTAAAACTAATATACAGAAAAAAATTTTCTAAAACTTTCTCCAAAAGGGTTTAATTTATAATATTATTTAAATGTACAGTTTTGAAACTACAATATTAGGATCACAGTGTAACAGTTCTATATAGATTATATAGGGGGAACTTGTTTGGCAACGAAAACAATAAATATGTACGTTTTATAAAGAAGTATTGTCAGAGGATATTCAGTTGAAACCTGAACTTAGAGATCACCTTTACTGTATTTAATAAAACCTTTAAGAACTTTGGGTCCTCAATGCACTTCAACTTCGAACTGTATTTGGCTTTTTTAAATTGTTTTAATTCGAGCGTCACTGACTAGTCTATTGTAGAATTGTTAACAAAACGCGCGTCTGGCGTACACCATTTTAATCCTGTTATCTGTCATGAGTATATTTCAGGAAAAAACAGTCATTTTCAGTATTGCAAATTGAAAACATACGAAGATGTTTATCTTTTTCTATTAAAAATCAAATTAAATATTAACACTTCTTTCAAATACATCAAATACAAGTATTTCTTTTGACACCCTACACAGTTGATAGTCTTAAATACAAATGTATATATTAAAATGAAATAATTGTTAACAAGATTTCCTAAATATGAATTGATCCAGACGCATTTTTATCAGTTTTGTTTACTATATAACATAACATATACCTACAGTTGTCCATATTTCCAGGATACCATTTAAATCTTAAAAAGTTGTTTGACTAACTGAATAGAACAATTTCATTAAGTTCAATCAAAACTGAGATTCTTATTCTTGAAAGGAGTATATGAGTTTATGCATGTACATTGTCTGAAAATATCAGTCATTTTCATTCAAGTGATTCATAAAACTACAAATATTATTGGTCGTTAATAATACCTTTCTTTATTTAGCCGGAAAAGTATGAATATACAGTAATAGAAGGCGAGTCCATAACCATTTCGTTCAAATCAACAGTTCCTGTAGGTTGTATTGCTTCACATAAAGAACTCATGACTCACTGCGACCAAAATTTTTATGTATTTCAACCTACAAAGAATCAAAACTTCGAATCGTGTTTTAATAATATTGCTATGAAAGATATCATATTTAAAGCGCAATTTTGTGGCATCACATTTGGAGCCAGTGACTGGCAAGACGAAAAGACATTGGAAGTATACGGTATTAGTGATGGTCTATACAATAGTAAATTTAGAGCAGCTTATGTCAGACTTTCAACTTCAACAGTCTCAACATTAAATGAAATGTGGCAAAGTGTTAAAATTCCAGATATTAAGGTTAGTTTTAAGAAAAAAAAATAGTTTTGGTTTTGAAGGCAATATTTTATTACCTTTGTTTGATAATAATTGTCCGAAGATTGACATGAAATTAGCATAATAAAATTAAAATTCAATTTATTAGCAGTGCGGATCCTGAAATTTTTCACGGGGAGTGTCTCCAATTCAAGATAAAAAACAAAGTTATTGTTATCATTGATAATTGAGGTCACGACGGTATTAACACAGCGAATAGTAAAACATGGTTAACACTATTGATTCGAATTTCATTTTGTTTGTTTACCCTGATCAAAAGTGTTAACTAGCTCATCAAAGTCTTAATGTTAATAATAGTGCACGTGCATCAGTGATCATTCATTACGACATTTCTGTCCCTTTTTTAAAGTTAACAAAAATAGGAACTTGATCCCCTTATTTATACGCTGACATTCGCAATTGTGGTAACAATTTTAAGAATGTCAGATGTTTTGAAAGAGAAACTTGTAGTGTTTCTAAATGCTTTCAGCTGTTTACTTTGGTGAGGTTTTTTTTGTATTTTGTCATAAATACGACAACATATTCATTTAAACGATATTCCACTGGCGCTTAAGAAGTCCGAATTATATCAATCAGAAAAGTTTTTTTTTTTGTTTTGATTATAACGTGCGTCGGAGTTTTTGTATCCATCTCCAAGAGAAAAAGCCATAACTTGTAAGATTAACCAATAATCGTTGGATCTTCAGATTAGAACGGATTAATCGATTTTGCCATTAAGAGCCGCCCTAGGGTGTAAAATTTTAAACACGTACATATTATAAAGATTGGAGAAAAAGTTTTTAGCATCACACTATAAACAAATTAATAAATGTGGAATTATACAACAACGTTTAGATATCTAGATAAAAAGAAAATCAATTCAAAAAAGAAAAAAAAGGCTTACTATTGCGAATTGTCTTTATTTCACATATCCATATCAAATGTATCGAATTAGTAATTAACGATCATTGGTAAACACATATCAAGTGTATACTTATGTATTTTAGCCTGAAGGTAAATTTATTGTATACGAAATAGAACTATAATTTATTATACGTGATAAACTCAAAGGTATTATCGACAACACGGACAAAAAATGCCAAATGTAGTATTGCGATTTCATAAAATGGTGCAATCATATTGTACAAGACCTTATGTTGCAGTTTTGCAAAACCTATCTCGCCGCCATTCCGCAAAAGTAAAAAAAACATTGAAGTTTATTTTGAATTACAGTATTTATCTTTTCACTGGTTGATATGACCACGATAGTATTTATAATGTATATGACAAAACTATTGCAATTGTTTTGGTTCCACTTTATATTTGGAAAAAAAATCTTTCAAACCACTTGTTCAAAATTCATTGATTACTTTACACAATAGGCGTGAACATTAGAATAAGCATTTCAATTTTCAATGCAATAAAGGTAAACCCCAGTTCTATTTTTATACTTCCTAGTTTCTTTTTCTGAAACAAGTGTTAATTGAATAGTTCTATTGTTACGAAAAAGAATGGATTTTGACACAGGGTGTGACTAGCGGGATTTCTGGAAACCCCTGCTTCTACATCTCGAAAGCACAGTCAATTGTTATTCATAACAATAGAAATTGTTTATTTTAATAGCATGAAAAAAAAGAGATTACTATTATTGATCACTACAAGTCGTTTCAAAACATATTTAAAAAAAACATATTTTAGGACATTCCAATAGCGGAAAAAAAAATATTTAGAATCTTTTTTGAATTCAAAAAATCATTTAAATACTGCTATGCTTGAATATACAATTTTAATCTCATATTACAATGTCTTGAAGAACATACATGTCAAGAACTTTATTTGGATTATACATTAAAAAACATATAGCTTTCAATTGAACTAATTCTTAATCATAAAATTAATATTATTGTTTGGATTGTTGAACACTAATGACGACACCCAGGGGCGGATCAAGATATTCTTAAAAGGGGCACCAACCTAGGATAAAGGGATCACCATTCAATAGGTTTGATCGTGAAAAAGGGTGTTCCACCCCACCACCCCTTGGATTGATCTGCAAACGAGGGTTCCTACATATATGCAATCTGTATTTTTATATGCTAAGCGTGTCCGGTCTTCGAGTTTCTAATCCAGACAGACCTATTCCTCAGTATGTTCGAAGATAGTGTGTGTTTAATGTTGAGAGGAAGGAAGGGGCTTGTTTTGATAAAACTATAACATTTAAAATACATTTATGATAATCTTCATTAAACTGATACATGTAAGTACTTTGAGTTATAGAAATTGTGTAACTTTAGTCTCTTCTGCCAAATCCATGCCTGACTCAAAATGTCGTCCGTCTTAAACCCGTCTATATTGACAACTGCATGCAAGGAACCTGATGTTTATATTTGTAATAAGAATGCACAATACGGCCATATTTACCTGTTGATCCATATAGCACATGGATTTAACAGAATTATGCAAAACAGCAACTTTGACATTAATTTGTAGAATCTACTCACTTTTCAAAGTTTGAATAAAGATCGTCAAAGTAAGGTTACTAGTGGGGTTTAATAAAACAATATTCTGAATAATCATTGTTGATATTTTCAATAAAAATGCTATTTGATATTCAAAGTAAAAAAATATAGGGTTTAGCTATAGCATCGGGTGAAAGTTAGTTTTACACTTCGGGATATGGCTGTCTAGACAAGAAACCCATCCCGCCTTTGGCCGTCAGGGTTTCTTATCCAGACTCACATATCCATCAGTGTATGACTATTACTTAAACTGTAGGAAAGACGGAAACAGGAATAAACAAAATAAGGACTTATTGACTATCGAAACATAATCTTATTAACAGTAAGATCAGATATGTGACCAATATTAAGCATGTTCTCACTTTTACCAGGTAACCGTCATCGATAAGGATATAACTTTGGCAAACAGGCTTTGTCAATCTCATAATGATCCCCATATCAGAACTTTCGATGGAATCCATTACGACATGATGGAAGTTGGTGAATTTGTTCTGTATAGAAATGACAACGGACCCTATTGGGTAGGATTGTAGATATATTATATAACACAGTTAACATATTTACCAGAGGATAAGTTTTTAACCAGAAATATGCAACATTACATTATGAGCCTATCCTCTGCGCATGAGACTTTCTTACATCTATGTCCTCTATCACATATTATTGACATGGTGAGAAGTGTAAACTGTATTAATGATATTTAGAACATTAGCATATAGTTAGTTTTATAACAATCTGAATCCTGTCTATACCAGAATGGATATCTTGACTATATATTTACTGATATCGGATGACCGAAAAAAAATAGAAACATTAGCTGATATTTGGCTCAACTTTTATTTTAAAGAATTTATTTACACGGACACGATAATTTTGAAGCATGAAAAAAATATAATTAATAGGTTCAGTTTACATTGCAAGGTTGTTATGTTTTAGTTTACCACAAGTTTGTAAACAGTGCATAGTATGAACAAATGTAGTTTTGAAGAAAAAAACATGTTAATACATTCAATGTAATAAACGTAAACTGCAGAAAATATAAATCCAGAACATAGTCTAAAATAACATGGTTTAATGTATCCTTTTAAACAGGTTCATGCATTGTTTACGAACTGTGGTTGGACTAGTGCATCGTGTAATTGTGGAATAGCAGTAAGAAGTCGTAGCTCCTTATTTGTTATAAGGACATGCGCAGTTGTGTCAAGAACGAAACAAGAATTATTGAAGACACCAATTACCAAATTGATAAGTTGTAATGAAAACGACTTACTGATAAACTATAACCAGCGAAGAAACGAGTACACGGTAAATAATCATTTAAAAAAATAGTCTTCAGTTGTTGATTGTACCTACAGATCTGAATTGTTAAAAGGTCGATTAATTCGTTCATCATCAGATGATGTGTGTCCCAAACTGCATTTTATACAGTGTTAATTTGTATTGTTATTATTACCAAACATAAAGCTTTAAGTCACTTTAAAAAATCAATTAATAGATTGCATCTAAAAGTTGATTCACAAGCATTATTTAGTTAAATATTAGAACTACAGAAAAAAAGTAATGCGTTACAATTATCAAAATAAATACAATCACAATTGAAATTCTACTGCTTTAAACAGTATTTTATCAAACATACCGATCTTGCAGATAAATTAAAGAAGAGGAAATCCATAAAAAATGACAAAACCAAAGGTTTGACTAAATCAAGAACAGAACTGAGTTTTTAATGGTCAAAATCAAAAAAATATAATATCAATGTACGCTTTTAACTTGAATGACCAGTCCGTGTTATCATACAGAATAAATTTTAACTCTTAACTATATTTCTTGTTTTACAAGTATACTTCAAACATGTTAAATTGTAATTAGTTTTTATCATGAGCACATGTGCATCGTATAACAACAAAGCTATTTGCTTCTGGGTGTTGATAAATAAATTTATTACATTAAGATAACCTTACCTACTGGAACAGAAATCAATGTTCATATTTCCTGGAGATTCATTCGGTCAGTGTCAATAAAACCTTCAAGTTATGATATAAATGAGGCTAAAGGACTTTGTGGTGTTCCTAGTATCACAAAAGATCCATCTGATGATTATACTGATCGTAAAAAAAGACCAGTGAGCAGCAGTCAAGAATTTGCAAAATCTTGGAGGTAATTTGATTTTAAGCTTATTTTTTTACAGCTACAGAACAATAGAATAGTTTAAAATCTGTACCATTGATTTTTTTCGGTAAGCAGTTTATTCAGCTTCTATAGAAAAACCAAAAGAAGCTAGTAATATCCTTTATCTTTACTTTCAACTATATAGATAATGTCCTCTCACTAAAAAATTCATAGTTTAAGTTTAAGGTAGAGCCGAAAATTAAGTCCCTGAAATTTTCTCTCCAGAAAGGGGATCGAACCAGGAACCTTTGTGTTTGTAGTCAGATGCGCTAACTAATACACCACGGCTCTCCTACAAAGTTTGGTGACTTTGTTGGACGCATCTATCCCATCGCACTTTAAAAAAGGATACAACAGATACAGTTAATTCTGCCTCATATATTGACTTGCATCTAGATGTTGCCAATGAGGATCGATTGAGAACAACATTTTACAACAAAAGAGATATTTCAGATTTCTAATTGTGAACTTTCTATTTTTATGTACCAACATTCCCGCATATGGAGTATATATCGCCCAGTTGTTACGATATTCCTGGGCTTGTATTTCCTATCATGATTTCTTTGATAAAAGGTTGCTGCTCGCAAGAAAGCTATCAAACCTAAAATTCCAAGTGGTGAACTTATAATCATCCCTTCTAAAATTCGAAGCCATCAAGAGCTAGTTGACCGTTTTGGAATATCTGTTTCGCAGATGACGACGGATATGTTTCAATATTTGTTTTAGACTTTCGAATCTGCTTGCCTCGAGGACCAGAGTTATTTCTTCAAATGTTCAGAAACCATCTACAACTTGGTATAAGAACTGAAGATGAACGTATGCCAACCTTATAAAAAAAATAAAAATATATCAAACTGTACACCAATATAATTGTTCTTTCAATATTGGTATGGTTATTTTAAGGCACAGCATAGACGATATCAAGTATTTTTTGTGCAAACTAAGGCGCAGTTAAATCGTTGATTTTGATTGTAACATATAAATGTACACATGTCAGATACAGTAGCTTGTCATTGTGTATATATGTGAATGACAACGACCAGAATCAGAATGAACCAAGATGCAGTTGCGGCGACGAGGTAGTTACATATTCATCTACCTTCGTTATAACCTTTCTGAAAAAGTAAAACAACAAAAATACAAAACTCCATGGAAAATTCAAAACGGAGAGTCCTTTAACAATTGGCAAAATCAAAAGCTCAAACACATCAAACGAATGGAAAACAACTGGCTTATTCATGAGGCCTGGTTTTCGAAAGTATCCTAAGATATGTCATCAGATATATCTCAGGACAAATTTTAGGACCATCTTATGACTATCATATGATATGATATAATGTAAATCAAAGCTGGCCTAATATAGTCATACCTATGATGTTCATACGACTGTCATAAGTGAACATTTTTTATTTTATTTTAAATAATAATTTTAAAAAATAAAAAAATAAAAATAAGATTAATAAGTATAAACATAATAATTACCATTCTCATTATTTACGAACATTTATTTTTTTTTATTTTTTCATTATAATGAATATGAAATTACATGTATATATGAAAAGAAATTAAAATCTGAGTTGATAATTTGTTAAACTTTAGTGTGTATATATAAAATATCATGAACTTTGCGTTCATGTATTATCATGTATACATGAAGTTTTATTTGATTTTGAATACTTTTAAGATGCAGTACATTGAGTACCCGCTTACTATAATGCACATGCAAATACATTAAAAAAGGTACTATATAAGGACAGAAATAATGTGTATATTTATTAAACAAAATCATGAGTAAGAAAAGGTTCCAAATTTTACGCAGTAGGAGAATTTGACAAAGTAGATAAGAATAAATCTTTACTATTTTGCCGACTGAGTAACACCTATATAGTAAATTTATTATCTTTATTGTAATAAACATGAAATTATACATGATAAACAGTAATAAAAGAATTAAGTTGATAGTCATAAGACCTTCATAAGTCATGTCGCAAGGAGTCTTAACTGTACGACAACAGTTATGACATATCGTAACTTGGGACACTTTCGAAAACATATCTTACGACTACGGCATGTCATAAGACCATCGTAAGACATGTTTAAGTCATAAGATACTTCAAAAAACCAGTCCCCGACTTGATACAGGCATTTGCTTATGTAGAAAATGGTGGATTAAACCTGGTTTTAAAGCTAGCCAAACCTCTGAAGCAGTTTTTAGTCAAACGTATACATGGTATAACTCTATAATTTAAATTATTAATATCAGGTAGGCGTTACCTGTGAAAGGGGACGAAGTCCGTATAGATTATTGTTTTAATTAAAACATATTTTTATTTTAAAATCTGTTAAGAAAGAAACGGATATACCGTAACGTTTACGATGTTGTTTTGAAAATTTTAGTTATGACGTCATTTTCAATGTTCGTCCTTCCGTCCGTTCGTTCGATCGTCAGTCCGTCTGTCCCGCTTCAGGTTAAAGTTTTTGGTCAAGGTAGTTTTTGATGAAGTTGAAGTCCAATCAACTTTAAACTTAGTACACAGTTCCCTATGATATGTTCATTCTACTTTTAATGGTAAACTAGAGTGTTTACCCAAATTTAACGGTCCGCTGAACATAGAAAGTGATAGTGCGTGTGGGGCATCAGTGTACTATTGACACATTCTTGTTTTTCATATCAAAGAATCATTTAAGGTAGTTCAGGGTATAGAAAACAAAAAAAAATGAGAATGGAAATTGTGAATATGCCAAAGAGACAACAACAGACGAAGGCCACCAATGGGTCTTCAACGCAGCGAGAAAATCCCGCACCCGGAGGTTATCCTCAGCTGACCCCTAAATGAAATTGTGTACTAGTTCGGTGAAAATGGACGTCACCCTTAACTTTAAAACATATAAATGAACTAAAATTTAAAAACAGACAGAACTAACAAAAGCCAGAGGCTCCTGACTTGGGACAGGCGCAAAAGTGCGGCGGGGTTAAACATGTTTTTTGAGATCTCAACACTCCCCCTATACCTCTAGCCAATGTAGATAAAGAATTATCGTATACTTTGCCAACATGAAGATTTTACTATGGTTTTTTTTTTAAAATGATAAGAAGTATGGGTCACATGTCGTTCAAAATTGCCAAAATTACTAAGATTCTTCACGAAAAAACACATGCTTGTGCATAAAAAGAAATCTATAAGACAGAATTTTGAAATAAAATATGAGAAGATAATTTTTATGATATAAAATATATATTTATATTAATAATTGAAATTAAAATTAAAATAAAAAATGGTGTCACGGAACTTGTTTTCTTGCTACAAGTAAATAATTGAAAATTTCCCTATATGTCTAGTATAAATTTTGTACTAAAGAGTTATCTTCCCTTAAATGGCTTATTTGAAAAATTAATTCTAAAAGCAAACATATTTGGTATTTGTTAAAACATTTTCGATAATGCAATGAATAACTAAGTTTTCTTTATTTTTAAAATAAACAGTGTAACCTATTAATTGCAAATCTGTCTCCAAATTTGCAGATTTGGACAAAGAACTAGACCGATTGTTTACTGAGATTGTACAATTCAAGATGGCGGTATACCCCAGAACTACCTTAAATGAAATTGTTATTATGCGTCTTCGTATATTTTACTTAACTGCTAAATATATACAAACGAAACCGGAAGAAAGAAGGAGATTTCTGCACAAATGCTAGAAGATATAAAAAGTAATCAAATTTTAGTTCATTAGAAGATTGATTGATTTGTTTGATTTTTCTACTTTTATTACCGACTTCATCCCCATATAATGAGAACATATGTTGTCCTTTTGGATCAACCGAGAAATGCTGTTTACTTTGTTTATTGTGCAATTCCAATCATACATGCTATTATTTTTCCAGAATAACTTCAGCAATGGAAAATGAACAGTTGTTTGTACAAGAACCTGGTTTTATCAATGATGAATTAAATGTTGACCTTGAGAAAATTCCCTCAAACACAAACATCTCGACTGCGACGACATTTTGCTCATGTGAGGATCAGGCCAGTAACACGGAATCACTCAACGATTTCAACATCATACAATGTAATTTGACTGAAAGTACGGAATTTTGCTCGAGTTCATTACAGTCTGGAAACAAGATACATTCATATTCTACTTCTTGTAAAATCTCTAAACGCAAACGCCGTTCAGGAAGTCACCGTAGTTTATCTCGACGAAGTACAGCTGATACTGAAGACAGTGATGATATGACGGATTTTGAACCTGTTGTTTATGATGAAGACCTCAACAGTACAGATGTGGTATTGTTCCTTACTATCTACTTAAAGCAAAAATCTGAAATAGCATACTAATATAAATGCTTCAAAAGTTTAATAATTTTGCACTTTTACAACTTATTTGTATTCTTAAATTGTTGTTTTCGTCACTTGTATTGACATTTAAAAATGCAGATTGAAATGGTTAGACATAAATTGCATCGTTACCATACAATGAATCACTTCATTTCTCATGAAGTGAAATATTTTTTGTTTAAATTAAGCAAGTTTGAGTAACCAAATTGATTTAAGAGGATATCCCGTGTTTTGATACATTATTTTCAATTATATTGTTCATTTTCTGCAATATTTTCTGCGTCTTAAAACGAAATGTAAACATACAGCTTACTGTATGAATATGAAATTAAAGTAAACTAGTGCTCAGTTATGGCAGTGTCCCTGTATAAGATATTAAACAGCGATGAAACTAAGCACGTCCATTCTTTAGAATGTAATTGAGTTTCATGACGTATATACTAGTACTAGAGTAGGAGCAAGGATGTCAATAAAATAAAAAAACAAACAAACAAACAAACAAACAAAATAGCGTTGTAGTCGCGCCATTTGAAACAGTTGTTCCCTTTTCTCTTATAAATGTTTTAACAATAAACATGGACCAGAACCCTGTAAGATAAAGTACATGTAATAGTTCTTATTAATCTCGTTCATGTAGTGATTGTTATTACAAATAACAGTATTATTTTACATATCATCAAATCCCGGCGCAATTGTGGGACATTTTCTGTTGTCTATTGTGTAGGTCCAACTTTTGGGTATATGGTAATAATGCATGTTGTTAATATACTGTGGATTCATTTATTTTCGTGGGTACCAATTTTCGTGGATTGAGGAAAACTTGCTTTTTCGTGGATATTAAATTTCGTGGCTTTTGGCAAAGTCTGCATACATTCCTTTAGAAAATTTGTAATTCGTTGAGCATTTAAATTCGTGGTTCCCCTGTTCCCACGAAATCCACGAAAATTGGTATCCAACGAATATTAATGAATCAACAGTAATCTATTTCTGTTACAAAAATATTTTCAAACCGATTTTCTGTTGAAGAGACAGGAAACTTACACTCGCTGGCTTAACTTGGTATAATTCATACGTAAAGGGGAAAAAATTGATATGGTGTATAAATTTGTCGCACTTATTATAAAAAAAGAAGATGTGGTATAATGGCCATTGAGACATCTCTTCACAAGAGACCAAATGACACAGAAATTAACAACTATAGATCACCGTAAGGCCTTAAAGAATGAGCAAAGCCCATACCGCATTGTCAGCTATAAAAGGCTCCCAAATGACAAATGTAAAACAATTCAAACGAGAAAAATAAAAGCAGAATTTGTTTACAAAAAAATGAACGAAAAACAAATATGTAACATAGTTAATTTGAAGAGATCCATTAGTCAAATATACATCGAAAAGTAATTTAAATAGTGCACATTAAAATAACATTGTTTTATAATTGTTGGCAAATAACACAACAGTTGCTATAATTCAAACAGCTTTTCGCATGTTTATACCGTTTTAAAGAATCAACATCGGACTAAGTATCATCCGTATTATATAAGGATTTCAATTCTATCTTAATATACTTTTTTTTTATTTTTCAGTCAATTTAGACTTTGAATAGTTTATACTTTTAAATCTAACGTGTATTGTATAATTGGATGCATGCATGGTGACATAGGGAGAAGTGTATCATGCTACGAGTGATTGTGTATGTCGCAACTTGGATCTTTGTGTGTATTATGAGAAATGGGGAAAAGGTTCTTTTTTTCTTTTTTATTTTTTTCGTTCTGTAAAATGTTTCACAGAGGAAAGGGGATGGTGCAAAGGTGGGAAAAAACGTATGGTGTAATGCAGAATGGGATATGGTGTCAAAGAAGTGGTATAAGAGGGATAGATACATATTTTTGGTAAGAAAATTTTTTTAAGTACATGTAGCAATTAAATGAATAATATGACTATAATTGTCAATTCTGTAGATTTCAAAGACCTTTCGAAACGGCTGGACTGCAGATATAGCTTACCAAACATGTCAAGAAGCATTAACGACGGCAATTCCATCTGAGGTTTACAGCAATTTTGTTGAGGTGGATGTGGAGAATTTTATACAGTCTTGCGTATCGGATATTGAGGTAGGATAGGTGACATATTTACTGAAATCAAATAAATCGAAAAGACGTTTACACGTCTTTTAATCTCACATAAACAAAATGAACGATTATATGTTATCCAATAAGCAATCAACAGGACACCAGACAAACACTATCATCAATCATACACGACAAATTTGCACGATAATTTGTTTTTTTTTTTTTTTTAAATTGACTGAAAGAAGTGTTAATGTGGAAAATTGTCATTTCTAGTACTCAAAGATCTGTACTTAATGTCTTGTTGTTGTTATAGATGAAGGATGGATATATACCCTGCCACGTCCTGTCTGTGTTTTTGCATGATGTTTTTCTTTGTATCGATCTGATGAGTTCAGTCTTTTTCAACTGTTTTTTAAGTGTTTTTCTTATTTTGTGCTGCTATAACACTGTTCCAGGTTTAGAGGAGTTGAGCGCTCACAAACCTTTTTAACCTCGCAACATTCTGCATGTGTCTGTCATTAATCAAGAGCCTGTTGTTCAGTAGTTGTCGTTGGTTCACGTCTGTCATATTTGTTTTTCGTAAATACTTTTGTTATGAATTAGGCCGTTAGTTTTCTCAATTGAAATGTTTTTATATTTTTCATGTCAGGGCCATTTTTAGCCGACTACATGGTATGGGTTTTTTTCTCGTTTGCACTCATACAACACCTGCTAATTTTTATATTATACTATTTGCAACCAATTAATGTTTGAAGTTTTTCAAATGTTTTATATCAGCGATAGAATATCTTTTGGAATATAATGTCGGATCTCGTGAGTCTTATCATTGTTTGAAAAATAAGGAAATGCGGTATGATCACAAATGAGACAACTATACACATGATCCAAAAGGACCTTCAACAGTGAGCAAAACTAGCAAAGTATAAGCTCGAGTATATTAAAAAGTTTGCAACCCTCTTTTTACAAATGTAAAAATGAATACTTGAAATCACATGATATTTGCTTACATTTAATGAATATATGTTTTGTCTAGCTATTGTCATATGTTCTGTATTTTATCATCATATTATCTACCTAATATTGTTTTAAGCATAAAATACTTCATTAAACTTGTTACTGTTTGTTACAGTGTTTGGCCCTTCTTGCAAAGCAAAGGCAGTTTGAATGGCCTCTGAATTTGGCAATGTTAGCGGAGATATATGTGATGGTGTACGAAGTAGGTCGGGGCCATTGATGTCAAACCCCTTTGTAAAATCTATTCTATAAGTCTTACTTCTAGGTTTGAATGAAGAACAGAAGTGTCAGCGATGGCATGCCTTCTTGGGGTTGAATAGATTGGTTTAAAAAAGAACTCCAAATTAACAACTAGGCTTGGTCTTTTTCATTTTGATCAACTTTATACTTTTGTATCATTTAATAAGAACATAGTCAAAATAAATAAAGATCACCCTGCGATATAATTTTCCCATAAAGATGTCTATTAAACTTTAAAATAAAAGTCGTATTTACAGTTTATTTTTTTTAAAACATTTTTTTAAAACTTTTTAACAGAAATTCATTTTTTTGGAGAAATGTTCTATTCTATATCCTCTACAATGCATCTTCGTTTTTTATTTTATTTTTATAATTGTAATAATCCTTTCCATATTACATGTACCTATCTGTATTTCAATCAAATTTAAATTGACAAAACACCTTAAACCAACGTCTATTGTTCTTTATTTGTAGAAATAGAAGGAATATGCATTTATAAAATGTATGAATAGCAGGAAGACACCCTGTGTCCCACGGGCAATCATTTGTTACTCATACGATACTCTTTCGTCTGAATTTTGCTGGATGATTACTAATTTATATTCCAGTCTGTTAAATACAGTTTATTAGTTAGTGTTATTTGCATTTCAACTAGCTTTCTGAAATTCCTATTTCTCTCAGATCGGCAATTTTTTTTTATTTTGTTGTTGTTACTAGTTTTGTTGTGCTTCGTTCTACATTTTATAGCTTGTTTTATGTTTTCCTGTTTCACCACTGTCCTAGCAAATGGGATTGTGGAGCGTTTACAGACATATGAACTCTAGTCATTAAAACGACTTTTTCGAAAAATATAAACATACGCAATTCTTACGACAGTAAATATGGTAGACATATTTGTCTTGATATTAAGACCTTTTTAGCCGTGTGTTATTTTGGGGGATTAAATTTAAACGACGTTTTACACCTCTGTCACCGCACAATATGTTGACTAATATCATATCATTTTTATTTCGTTTTGCTCATGTGTTTGTAACAATTCCTATTACAATGCTTAAAGGTTTTAAGGACCATAAATAGTGTCTACATTATTGTGTTATTTACTATTTTTCATGAATATGATAAAATAAATAAATACAACTATGCCGATTTTTAAAATGTATTGTTTCTCAGTGATATAAGAGGAAACAAACATAACTTAACAGTACAAAAAAAAGACAAGAATATATATTTCTTTTGATAATTTGCAACATTTTGTACTGTTAGTACATTAAAATTAAAAGATATTTCATTTATATTTACCTGAAGTTAATTAGCTTCATGTTTTTACAATCTAATCTGCCTTAATCCCATGTTTGTACAAGCATTCCTCCTATTCCTACCTGGATTTCTTACATTTTACAAACCGGATTATCAAATGTAGGAATAGCAGGAATAAACCGGACACAGATATATCCAATTATAGACAACAGCAATGATTGTTCAAAACCATATATCTATTCTTAGGCAGTTAACTGTAAAAAAAACCCAATATTTTAGTATTTAAAGAAACCTTATACTCACATTGAAAATTGGTTCCAAATTAATTTCTTAATACGCCAGAACTTGCCAATATTTTCTAATGAGGATCTAAACTTAGACGAATGCCTTACATTATGTCCTGTTATATGATTTGCTAAGTACATTCTCCTTAAGAAATTAACTTTACTATATCTGTTATTATTTCTATTTTCATTATCATTAATATTACTTTAAGCATGTTTATTATTACTACATTATCTATTACCTTTTTAGTTATCTTCGTTTATCATGTTTATTGGTGGGGGCATTTATATTTTACCTTAACAGGCTCTATATATTTCACATTTTGTAAACCGTTTGGTGTATTCTCATATCCAACACATGCTTTATATCTAAACAGGACGTGTATGTAAATAAACTATCATGATCTCGGAGTTTTATTTTTTGTCTTTGTTTTTGTTTGTTTGTTTTTGTTTTGTTTTTTTTGGCAAACGTGAGGTTATATTTAACTCATTAATTTGCGACTAAAACACTTTTTTCAAATCATTTTCTAGATAACTGGGGATACGTCATTTTTAACGGATACTATCAGTGCCATGGCAACAACTATCTTGATGGAAGTTTCAAGAAATGAATCACTTTTTATTATGAACACAACTGATGGTTCACAGACATTACTTAGGCAAATTACAAGCAAATTGTGTATAAACAACTGTAGTCATAACGGCATCTGTATTTCAGGTACATTAGAAAAAACAATTTGTTGTTTAACGGAGTCTAAACTTTGTAGTATAATATATTTTTCTGAATAAAAAGGATGGTATAGACTGGTCCCTTTTCAGATGTATTCTTTAAATATCATTGTGATAGCATGAAATGGTTGAAAATATGTTTTTTCTATTCAATATGATCAGCAAACGTACGAAAAAAAATCATATTGTATTAGTATTGCTGATTTACTTATGGGATGATCCTAAAATCAGACAAAGTAAACAGTTTTGGTGGTTCTTGCAGTTGTCTTACATTCAAGTAGTGTAAGGCACAATTTCAAATACAGTATTACTAGTAAAAATGTATCATAAATAGCTGAAGGATGTTTTCAGAATGTGTTTAACAAGTTACAATATCTTTTTAATTTTTAAAATCACTTTAATTTTGCAAATCACAATTCAAAAGTTTTGTCATCATATCATCCATTTTGTGTCTTTATTTCAAGAAGTATGAGGCACAATTTCAAAAACGGTATGAAATATGTATCATGGACATCTGAATGATGTTTTCAAAATATGTTATTTTTCTTTGTGATTTTTAAAATCATAATCTAAAAATGATAATATCATCCAACCTTGTATATTCTGTTGTTGAATCGCTTCATCTTGTATTAACTGTAGGGGGTTGCGAATGTTCAAATGGATATATTGGAGATGACTGTTCTAAAGATGTTTCACAACCACCTGTTAACATAAGTCTGCCATCTGATGGTTTATGTACCACATCAACTCGTGCATGCAAGAAGACTAACATCTATGGGGATTTTCTTTCAACCGAAATATGGTACAAGATCAGATATTTTAAGGTACTAACTAAGTAAAACTGATTTTCACAAACGAATTTTCCGGTCGGGAAAAGTATGAATCGTCTAGGAATTAGAGAAAGGAGTTTATAAAACAAAAGAGGTGGCGGGATTGCCAATGAGACAAATCTCAACAAAAAACCAAATGACACAGAAATTAACAACTATAGGTCACCGTACGGCCTTAAACAATGAGTATAGTCAGCTATAAAAGGTCATGAAATGATAAATGTAAAACAATTCAAACGAGAAAACTAGCGGCCTTATTTATGTACAAAATAATGAACCAAAAACAAATATGTATCATAACAACAAGAGACAACCACTGAATTACAGGCTCCTGACTTGGGACAGGCACATACAGAATGTGACGGGGTTAAAAATGTTAGTATATATAACGATTTATAATTTTCCCGACTGTAAAATTTGTTTGTGATTATTAGTTTTTACTTATAAGTAGATTTCAATACCGCATTGAACGAAATTCAATTAAAAAGATTTAAAAAGGTCAAATCCTTTGTTACGTATACTTTTCAGTTTTAGAATAATTTAAATGTGCAATGTAAAGCAGGAAAAATGTACTATAGCGGAGTGGCGAATGTTGAAAAAGACGCTTAAATACCTCATGGAATATAAATGTCTATCGATTATTCAACTTCCAATAAATATTTGTCGTTAATATCAAATGTTTGTGCAAGTGACATTAAAAATTACCTTAACTGACGTTACCCAACTGTCTAGGAAAACCGAACTGCTCTTTCGATAGACTTATCTCGTTATTAACCCTTTTTTAAACAAGATTTGAGAACTAAATTGGTTAATGTGGTAACTCTTTAACGTCATACATTATAAGGGCATCTATATTAAGTGTTATATGTAAAGCACAAATTATTTGAAAATAGAGGAAAAAACACCAATTTTATTTTTACCTAGCATTATTACGTATAACTCGTGCAATTAATGTGTATGGTAAGGTGCAACCAAAAAGCCGTCGTATAATACTTCAATCGACCCGATTTACTTTTTGAAGAATATTATTAATAAGCAATATAATAGGTAAAACATCTGCATTTTATCAAAACTTCAATTTCGGATAGTTGTCACACATGAACCGACACTCTTTGGTTTCTAGTTATATGCCCAAAGTGTGTTCGCTCTGTTGGATATTCAAGTAAAAAGAAAATTACACTAGTGCGTTGAAACTGGCTCTGTCTGGTGCCTAGAAAAGGTGTTCTTATGTTTAAGTTAGGAAATACATTACCTACAATTTGTATTTGCTCAAGTTTTAAGAATAGTAGCAGAATCTAGATGTCTGGTGAATATTGCAACAGTGAGACCTGATGATTTACGTATTTATTTTAATGAACTATGTAACGATACGTAAAATAATTCAACCAAATTTAGGTTTCACAGGTCTTGTTTTTAAAGCTACACAAGTTACATTTGTAACAGAATGTTAAATCAGTAGCAGGGCAGAGAAGTAAGCACCAGATATGAAGCAAGTTTTTCCAATTCTTTGTTGGTTGAAAATAATGTTGACTCGGCCAATCAAAATATTTAAGTGTATAATGTGCAAGAAAATGTCTCTAAGAAAGTGAAAACATTACATACTGTGCTGGAATATTTGCAGGCAATGCTCGTATGATATACTAAATAAAGCATGAGAATTTGCTCAAAACACAGTTTATCAATCTGGATGGTTGACCGTTTACTTGGCATAAAGACCAAATTACACAAAGAGTAGTTAAAATTATTGACAAAGACCTTATCCGTGACAAAAAGACTCTATGTGTTATTTTATCAATGCTGATACCAGTATTTCTTACTAAATAGTATTAGAAAGACCTACTGCAATTACTCTAAACTCAAGGCTAAACTTAAGAGGCACTGATTGGATGACATAGTATTTTTTTCTAAACAAGGATAAGATAAATTTGAAAACGTCATTTTTATTGGCGTCGCCTTTAAAGCCGCGAAAAAACATCAAAGCAAAATCGAAAATTGTTTAAAAGCCGACAACAGTAATGTTATTAGCTGTCCGACTTCACATTGTAACCATGAAGAAGCAGGTACCACAATGATATTTTATGCTTTTCATGCTGATACGATGTATGATAGAAAAATGGTGCGGATATAATTTTTATCAAATCAGATTATACTGTGTTCTTGTTCTGGCTGTCCATTTGTACCTGATGCTAAAAATTACAAAATTACGACGTATGTGTTCACACTGGTTCAAATTACAGCTTGAAGGATAACAGACGATTTATCCAAGATCACGCGACTGCTTCGCTTTTTGACCCACTTGTTACCGAAATTCTGCCGATCATTCGTGTTTTGAGTGGATTTATTTCCACTTCAAGTTTTTGTGAAATCAGTAAAAAGTCGGTATGCAACCTTCTTGAAATGAAAGCAAGCATCTTCAGTAATCTTGTAACATTAGCACAAGGTGATGTTGATAGTGCTATAAATAATGATAGGGTGTTTGTTACTGCATTATACGACTTAGCATACAAGTTCAATAAATCGCACAACAATTTGAGTTTGCTATATATATAAAGATAAAAGTGTAATAAAGCTTCCGCCATGTGATTTCATGTTTAGGCAATATACATGTGTAAGGACACTATGGCAAAGCAAAGTTTGGGTGTAGACAAATGTTGCCAGGCCAAATAATGCCACGCCATGTGAGTTTGGTTGGACATTTTCCTTGAACGACAACGACATCATACTCTCTACAAGACCTTGTTTGTTAGTATAAGGGGAAAGCATGTGCAGACAGCATGCGTTATTAAGGAGCAGCGACTCATTTTTTAAACAATATTACGAGAAAAAATTCTCGTAGTTCATGAACATTTCAGTATAACTTACGATCAATTTTAGTCAAAAGATTTCTTGGTAAAAGGGTCGTAAGTGGCCTGTTGCAAGGCACATTTTGTTCCTATAGAATATACCCTCATATTCCAGTGGCAGTCCAAATTTCCTCGACCGTCATCGCGGTCGTCCTCTGTTACATGACCTACCTATTGTGTTTAGTTTTAATGTTGTTTTTTTTTCGTCCTAAACATGCATGACATATTTGATACTGGACGTTAAGAAAGCAACAAGTAATCAATCTATCTTTCTTGCACGAATTTGTGTTTTGTCAAAATGTAGGTAGTTGTAACAATGTCCAGGCCGTATCAGTGATGACACAGATGACATATCGTGAACATTTTTATTGGAACTATTTTTGAAATAAATTGGGGTGTCCCTCGTTCATATCGTATTTGAATCTTAACTTTCTATAATGTTTTCGACGTTTTATTTTGTATATGAAAGCGGTCATGTCTTACTAATTGAATTTTTAATAAACCAATTTGCATTCATTACAGTACCTTCGAATGCAAGTTAATCATAGTTATCATTTCAATAATTCGTGCTTCTTATATCATCTGAAAATTTATCGTGTATTGAGATTATTTAACAGTGTGTATTGTTTTCAAGAAGCTGTGTGACATGTCGAATCCTGGAAAACTGAGACAAAATCTAACCTGCAAATGTTGTTGGATTTTATCAACAATGTATTTCGGAGACTCTTTTGATACCTAAAACATTGTATACTAAAATGTATGTATATCTTGTCTAGAAATGCTATTATTCGAGGTCAAAGATCAAGGTCATTTTGTTGCAGTTATGTATTATGCTTGGAGGAAATTTCCATCAAACGTGTTACCTTTGAAAAAGTTGGATAAAACGTTATTCTTAAGTCATGTCTAATAATGAAACACATCTTAGTCGGAACTTAAGGATGTACTTAGGTGATCAATCATGAGGTTTTGGAATTTGTGTCATATTTTAAGACTCCTTGGTTTTTTTCCTACGATACAGGGTAAAATATTTTGCCCCATAACAGACATTTGTTCTTTTCATATAAAACTTCAATAGCTCATAAAAGGTCATACCAAAATTTAAGCAGATTCTAGATTTATTTTCTTTCGATTTGAGACCCAAATAAAACCAATGCAAATATAAGGTAAAAGTCCGAGTCAGACTTTTCCCGCCATTTTTCAAAACTCAAATATCTCAAAAAGGAGCTCCATAACCTATCAATAATTTTAGCTTATTTTGTTCCTTAACTAATACTCTTCCGACTTATAATATCAATTTTAAATTCTTTTTGATTTTTTAAATTTCATCTAAGGACATCCTTAAGCATTGGTTAATAATACTACTTGTATAAATTATTCAATGAATACTAGTAATCGATTTTAAAAAAATCTGCAGTTTGCTTCTCTAGAAGAAAATAGGATTTTTTTTTAGTTATGGCTTTTGACCATGATGGCACCACCTTTTATATTTACGATACATATTTTCAAAAAGTACACGATTTAAGCTTTCCTATGAGCTATTATAATGCCATGAGTTGTGTAGGTAATTTAAATTTCTAAAATTGTCCTCTCAGCCGCTTCGCTTCTAATAAAATTGAAAAAAAGTTATATCAATTTCCAAAAATAGAATACAGTATGAAACGAGTAATTGTTCTGTACATTTGTCATAATCTAAGTTTCTTGTATGTAACGAAATTTTGTTCCGGGTAGATCCACCCACTAGTTCGAATTCATTATTTTGTTTTGCCAAAAGTCTTTTTCAATCGTATGTTCTTTGTTAGAGGAAAACATATCCTGTTTTAATTGACTGTATTGATCTAGTTTTTGCCAATAACACATGATTTATATTAAAGACAACCTTCATACTGCATTTTAAGCTAAGATAAGGATGAATTATTCAGTCATCTTCTGTAACTTCTTTATAGATCACTTTAGAGTGCTCATGCATTTTAATCAAAAAGACGAATAAGTTTGCGTTAAACCTCGCATCTGATACCTTTCCAGTACCTTTTAAGATGGCGGACAGCAGTAAAAAACGCTGTTCCTTTCCTATTTGACAATTAACTAGTATGCAATGAAACGTTATTCCTATATCATTCACTCAGCACTACTTCTGTTTTTTTCATATTGTAGCTATTTCTTAATTGATTTGACCTTTACATTGTTTTGTTTCGAGCTTTATGTAGACGACAGGTGCGTGTGGCATAATAAAATCTAAGCCTGGTAATGTTGATGAGTTTCATATAAGGATGTGGTTGTAATGAATGTATGTTCTTAATTTTAGGTAGTTGATAATTCTAAATCGTATTCATCGAATTGGGAAGTTAACAAGGCTGAGTATAGGAATATGTTTATGGTTACCGTTGAACTCAATGTTGCAAGAAAAACTCGTGCATCCTCAGGAAATAAGATGGCAGAAGGGTATGAGATCACACTCTCGAACGACGGAACCAATTTTGGGGATGAAGTTACCATCCTTATTTATGACGACGGATGCTTTTCATGCAATCTATCTATGACTTGTGTTTCATTGGTAACTTTTTAATTTTTCGTATACATGTACATTTTTTTGTATGTAAAACCAAGACAAATGTCGCATATTAAAGGAAAAATATCAAACAAATGATGAGAACACCCTGCAAAAATTTTCAACTCAATCATTAACAATGATTATAATGTATAATCGCTGTTTAACAGACTGTCCAATGTGCTTTTATCGAGTTTTAATACTCATCAGTATTTTATTTGCCGGATTTTTTTTCTTTTTTTATACCCGTTCTGTAATGTTCATTACAATTTTGATGTATACATATCCAATTAGTTTTAATTTAAATAGAGCAGCTTGTATACATAGATATAGGAAGATGTGGTATGCATATAATTCTAATATGACGTGCTTATGTCGCTTTGTAAACAACACCGTGATAAAATTCTCGATATATCTATACTTAGCGCAGACTCAGAGATATACATAATAATGGATGTTACAATATACCTCCCTCATAAATCCACATGTATTGGAACCTATTTGCAAACGCTATTCCGATTTTATTGTTTTAAAAATTGCAATTGAAAAAAGACTACAGAACTAACGCTAACGCTCAGGATAAAATTCGAATATCCCGGCCCAGGCCATGTGTAAATTTCCAACAAATCTATGGCTTTCATGAATTATTTCTTAAATGAAAATGGGCCTAACGAATGATTTCAAAACTTAGTGTGATATATAATGAATATTTGATATGATTAATACATTTTATATGAAAAATTGTATTGCAGGAAGTCTGCGAATCGTCCATAGAGAATCAAGAAAATAACAAAGGTAACATATACATTTAAAAAAGTCATGCATGTTATTGTGACTCAAAGAAGGTGTGGGTCATAAGTCAATGAGGCAGCATCGAAACGACGAACATACAGAACATGAAATCTAGCGATCGACATTAGGAATTCAGCAATATATAGATGTGTATGCAATATGTAAGCTGTTTATTTTCCAAAATAATGCACTCAATGAATTTACCAGGGTCTATGAAAAAACTGCCATAAATACCGAAAGGTATAAACACATTTTTAAAAGATATAACTAAACAACTCTACTGATTATTGATTCTAAATAATACCAATAACTTTTATTTTACATTTTTATCTTCCTAAGATAGTAACAAGACCATTATAGCACTAGCTTTATCTTTTGGTGTGATTGGTGTGGTTGCTTGCTTGTTAGCTTTACTATTCTACTTGAAGCACAAAAACAGTGATGAAAAGTAAGTATGTTTTTAAATATTTTTCTCACTTACAATTGGACTTTGCACTGACATTTCGTACGTTTGTTATGGTTTGTTTTCATTACACTTTATTCCAGTAACAAGTAAGGAGATGTGGTATGAATGCTAATGAGACAACTGTCTAAACAGAGTCCAAAAAGCGGGGATATCAGTAATGTTAGACCACCCTACGACTTTCAACAATGAGTAAAACCCATATCGTATAGTCTGTTTATAGTTTGTAATAACCCCCACTAACCCCCTTCATTAATATATGTAAAACAATTAAAAAAAACCTGATCATGATTTATGTCAAAATATTAAACGACAAACAGATGTAATAGACAGCAACCAAGACAACCACTGAATAACAGGCTTCTGACTTGGGGCAGGCCAATGAAGAATGTGGCGAGGTAATTAAACATTTTTGTGAGCGCTTAACCCTCCCATATCCCGGGACAATGATGTAACACTAGTACAACATAAGAAACTAGTGTGAAAACCAGTTGAAAATTGCTTGCATAATCAAAACGTCCCGAGGCACAAAGAATCGACTAACCTAAAGACAACATATACAAAGTACCGATATAAGAGTACATTGAAAGCTAGGTCAAAGCCTCTTTTCTCCCACTTCTGATCATTCATGTTATTGATGTTGATGTCGTTACAAACTGTCGTATTTTTTTAATGTATGTGTTGTTTTTTTCCCTATTATTCATAACTATTTAGCATGTGTCTCCTCTTTAACTGAAGCGAATAGTATGGGTTTATAGAATAAAAAGCATAGGGTAAAACTTGTTTATTGTATTGTGAAGCGACGATTAGTTTATTTTTGAAATTTATAATTCTGTTATAATGTTAAAACAACAATATTGTACGTTGTTCCGTGATATTCACATAACTGACCGTGAGTATTTATTATTTGTACAGGACAAAAGTTGGTGTGTACTCTGGCTGCCAACAAGACAGTGGTAAAGATGTGGACAATGGCATGTTGTCCAATCGGACCAAAACATTTAGAGAAAATACCATAAGCGATCTTAATGTTTACATTGAAGACGGCGGAGAAGCATCAATTGGCAATTTCGGGAAACAGCTACCACCACAAAACCATTTCAAGAACAATTCATAATTTAGCAAAAAAAAAACACCAATTTGACTTAATGTCAATGACATGTTGATTTTTTTTTATGATATATTTTTCTTTTGAAACGTTGAAACGTTGACACCAGTAATTAGAATCTTTTTCTGTTCTATAAACATAATCGTGGTTATTAATAAGTAAATTTCTTTTCATATTTCGCTTATATATGCTGCCCTCGATTGAAAACTTGTTTTTTTGTAATTGCGAACAGTTATTTGGAGCTTATTAAATTCTCCCTCGCCTGCTAGTCAGAATTTAAAGTATGTAAATTCCTTCGTATAAATAAGGCAAAACTCTACTATAGGTTTGGTTGCTCGCAGTAACTTGTTCTTTTCTCTTGCAAACAATGTTTAATAACATAATAATCTAATATAATTTAATAACAATTTGACATTTGCATACAACAAAATTGATCAACACTCATTATATGTAATGAACTTAAACTCTATATGATCCGTTTTCCTAAATATGACAATAAACGGTAAACTGTACGTTGTAGTTACTGTGAGCACCTTCGATGAACTGACAGCTCAACAATTTCTTTACATAATATAACGGAACCCTTCCTTTAAACCGCCAAAGGATTTAACGTGCATATATAACCAATATATCTAAATTCAAAATAACAATAACCCGTTTTACAACTTCTCTAACAGTTTTGAATATATCTATCTATATTTAATGCAGGGGAAATCCCTAAAGTAAAACGAAAAAAAAAACACTTTTCGTTACAATTAGTGCATTACCGGTGCAATGTATACAAGTAAAATAAATATTGTCATATTACGTTATATATAAAAATAAGGAGACAACTATCCACCAAAGTTCAAATGAAGTGCATGTAAGCAATTATAGGCAACCGATACGGCCTTCAACAATGAGAAAACCCCATATCATATAGTCGGTTATAAAAGGCTCCGACATGAAAAATATGAAACAATTGAATTGGGAGAACTAACGGCCTTATTATTTATAACAAAACTATTTGCGAAAAAAAAACAAATATAATGACGGACATGAACTACAGTACGGAAACGTATTAGCGCCACACAACTTTTTTTTTATACTTCTTCCTACGTTTGCGTTATAACGCAAACCTTTGCGAAATAACGCAAACCTTTTGCGTTATAACGCAAACATTTGCGAAATAACGCAAACCTTTGCGATATAACGCAAACATTTGTTTTATCTTATATCTTATTTAAGATTCAAAGGAAGGAGCAGTTATTATTGGAGGAGGCTGCATATATTAAAATTTATCTTCTTTGTACTCATTGCAAAGTAAAATGCTTTACTATTTAACTAATAATGAGCAGGATAATAGATATAAGAAGATGTTGTATGAGTGCCGATGAGAAAACTCTCCATCTAAGTTATAATTGGTAAAAGTAAACCATTATAGGTCAAAGTACGGTCTTCAACACGGAGCATTGACTCACACCGAACATCAAGCTATAAAGTGCCCCCAAAAATGATATACATGATAATACATGTACATATATTACAATGAAAATTGAGTAAATTAAAGTTATACCGAAGAAAAAAAACAACCCTGCTAATATAGCTATAGCCGATTATAAATATACTTCCAAAGTAAGCTCTCGTTTGAGGAATGTGTAAGGTTGGTTAACTACCCTTTTGCAATAAATGAATAAAATGAAGATGTTTTATTAATAAAATTATGTTCTCTTCATTTAAATTGCTACCAAGTTACCACACTAGATTGAAAATTTCATGACTTTTTATCAAAGAATCTTTATCATATTCTGAGATTTTAAAAAACGATTTCTTACATCAGAATTAAAAAAGAAAAAAATCTTTCTTAATAATTCATTTTACAGCAGAAAGACCATTTTGCCTATTTGACTTGACAGTTTTACAATTGTATGACATTATTTTTGCTCGTACTTATCTACTTAATCAATTTTTTTAAAATGTTGGCCTTTCAAATAAAATATGCCTATAACATTTCTATTTTCTTGTTAAATTATATACTTTTCTGATTCCTATGCATGTTTATTATAATGACTTTGCCTTGTATTTATGGTTCTTTTCCTAACTAAATCACAACAGAAATTTAATGACAGACGGACATATATACAAAACTTAAAGAAGAATTGAAATCAAAAGATGTTTGCGTTATAACGCAAAGGTTTGCGTTATTTCGCAAAAGTTTGCGTTATATCGCAAAGGTTTGCGTTATATCGCAAAGATAGGAAGAAAATTATAAAAAAAATAATTGTGTGGCGCTTATACGCTTCTGTATATTTCAACGCATCTTGATAATTCCTCAGAGCACATCAAGAATTCTTTTCTTTTGTCAAAATTTACAACAAAATGCCGCCCGACTAAAATGTATTGTTTTGATTGCGTGCATGTTCATTAAATATAGCAATGCTGCAAACAATAATTTACAAGCGCAACGTTTCCTGACATGTCTGTGTTTTTTTTTTTTTTGGTTTTTTTAGTTGTGTTATTATATTATTGATACCATAGTTTTATATTTTGGTTACATTGTAAATCTTACAGTTGTCATGTTGCAGTGATGTTTATTTAATATGAATTTGTCCTCTCAGTATTTCAATATTAATATGTTTTATTTGATAACAATATTGACGATATCATGTTTTCTTGAATACATGTGAATAGTGATTTTGTGTGTTCTTTCAATTAATCCGTATATACAAAAAACATTGATAACTGTTTTACTAACATGAACCAGTACAGACACAGAGGTTACAAGCTGTATCATCTATTACAGAACACATGAGACTTTGATAACGTCAAAATAAAAAGAGCATATTTTTGTAAATTTCGCAAGGCGAAGTCGCGGTCTTAGCGATGATACAATGCAAATATATATATACGATAACTGCACTTGAATTTTTACTAGATAACATTTTTGTTCGCTACGGAGATTCCGTATATCGTCAAATTATCGGAATTCCAATGGGGACTAACTGTGCACCACTTATTACGGACCTGTTTATGACTAAAATTAGCAAAGACCAATCGAAACAATATCTGAAACAAAAATTTAATAACACTTTTAGATATTTTGATGATATATTGGCTCTCAATAATGACGACTTCAGTATGTACACTAAAGAGATTTATCCTGCTGAACTGACTTTAAATAAAGCTAATACTAACAATGAGCACTGCCCTTTCCTGTATCTTGGTATCTATTATATCTTTAACGGGAAGCTTAATACTAAAATTTACGATAAAAGAGATGATTTTTCAATTCCTATTGTTAATTATCCATTTTGAGATGGTGACGTTCCCTTGTCACCATCTTATAGTGTTTATATATCTCAACTTGTTCGATTCGCTCGTGTATGTAACAACGTATTTGATTTTAACAAAAGAAATCTCTGTATTACTGAAAAAAGTATTACACCAGGGTTTTCGATATCACAAACTTGTCAAAACTTTTACTAAATTTTATCATCGGTACAAGGACATCATTCGTAAATATAAATCAACGTGCAGACATCTTATACGTTCAAGTATTTCACATCCAGTCTGTTATGGTAATATTCTATACAAAGCACAAAAATGTCGTCATTCACCTCAAAAGCTAACCAAACCTTTAAACAGACTTATTCAGAAGGGATATAGTTACGATACTGTTGTCGGGTCATTAAAGATGGCATTTTTTTGGAATTAATATTGATTCACTCATAGGGTCTTTGCATCAGAAATAAACACATTTATTCCATAACCGGTTCTTGGCATGATACGGGTTATGTTCTTCTCATATATTTTATGATGGTATGATACTAAACACTTAACGGGAGGGATTGCGCTTGATTTTCATATGATGAAGACATAATCTTTCAATCAGTTTAATTGAGGTATGGAGCTGGTTGTCAGTAACTGGCAGTAGTCCTTTGTTAGTTTATGTATCATTGTCATTTTGCTTAGTTTCTTCTGTTACCTATATTGATATCGGACTCTGACGTCTTTAAAACTGCGTTTTACTGTGCGTATTGCTGTGTGTTTGTTTATTCTACATTGGCTAGAGGTATAGGGGGGAGGTTGAGATCTCACAAAACATGTTTAACCCCGCCGCATTTTTACGCCTGTCCCAAGTCAGGAGCCTCTGGTCTTTGTTAGTCTTGTAGGTTTTTTTTTAAATTTTGATTCATTTATATGTTGCGGAGTTTAGTGTGACGTCCATTTGCGCTGAACTAGTACACATTTTTGTTTTCCTCCGAACTCGGGATTTTCTCGCTGTGTTGAAGACCCATTGGTGGCCTTGGACTGTTTCCTGCTCTATGGTCGGGTTGTTGTCTCTTTGACACATTCCCCGCTTCCATTCTCAATTTTATCTTTTTTTTAAGTAACAGCTTTTAACTGATTATCGAATCTGGAAATATTACTGATTTATATAGGCTTTATTTCTTCTTCGTTTACCTTAATCAGGCATGTCTTTTGCGGCTGAGAAACAAAAAAATATTCATTTCTAAGGGTTTTATGATGCATTTCTAACTGGTGTTTAGATTAATCGTTCGGGCATCATTTGCATTGTTTACTACTAAACTGAGAGGAATTTGAAATCTTATTTCACAAATTTGAACATAATTATTCTCAAAAACCACATTGCTTAATGGGAGTCAAGATTGGGTCGTCAATTTTAAGATATTGAGATATGTGGTAAATAAAGATAAGTTCATTGAAGAATTATAAAATAAAACATAGATAACCCAGCTTGATTTCAAGAAAAAATCTGTTCAATAATTGTAATGTTTTTAATCTTGGTTGATTTTTATTGAACCTATGACATTTTCTTAAACTGGCGTTTTAATGAAAATATTAGCCACAGTTGTTTTACGTATACAAGAGCTATGATCAACTATATGTTAGCAGAATTATTTCATTTAAAATTGAATGTTTGTACTTTATTACAAAAAAAGTCAAATCGTGAATGGGGAATTTGTAGATCTTTATTGAGCAGATTAACTAGTGTAAGATATTGTCATTTTTCTAGCATTTTTATATTAGTCGACCTCGTGCTGAATTTTAGAATATAAACAATGAACCTAAAACGTATGATTTACCGTACTTATTAAAAAAAAAGCGTTAAAAACTGGTTCCTGAAAGTGTGCCGTCTCATATTTTTCAGGAAAATCACATTCCAAAGTTCGGTGATGAAAAGTGCATCTCCTGCTAAATTCCAATCTCAGATCGACAATATTCAGGCAAAAATGAATATTTCGTCCAGTTTCATAAAAAATCGACAAACTTTCTTTTGAATTTGATTTGATTTGTAATCCTGCGGTTTCATAAAATTTCCGATTTGAAGTCTTGTTTCAAAATTCCGTCATTACGAAGTTATCATAACAAAACCAGTAAATCGTACAGTTGAACGTTTATTATCGCATTATGTTTCTCTCTCACTGTTAATGACGTCTTTATACCAAATCTATTAGATGTTGGGTGTGTACTGATTGCTATTTTAGTCTTAGATATTTTGTTTGTCCCTTTTGCTTTTAACTGTTAAACTCAGTTCTAAGTTAGAAGTGTCAGAATCAGTTTGAGCGTAAAATTGTCAAAAACTGCTCTTAGACCTGTCAGTTCTACGACAGAAAAGTCCAAATCTGTTACAGGGTAGAACTGTCAGAATATGTTCTAGAGTAGAACGCTCCTAATTGACGTTATTTATAGTAGCCCTCTGGTCGTATTTGGAAACGGGACAATGCGCTTGATTTTTCCTGAAAGCAATATTTTTTTTTTCAAAATGATTAAATTATAATAATATTTACGGTCTACAGGTGCGGATCCAGGATTTTAAGTTAGGGGGCGCAAACTTAAATTTTCGCCGAGCGGAGCGAGGGCAAATTTTTTTTTTTGAGGTAAAATTATCGAAATATTCTTTATTAAGCTGAGGACAACCCATGCTTTGCAAATTTTAGGAGGGGAGCACGCCCGCCACGCCCCCTCCTGAATCCGCCCCTGGGCTAGGAAGTATGTCAATACTGTATTTCTCATCAACACTATTTCTATTATTTCCGCAATAATTATAAAAAATACTAGTTTTATCATTAGAATAAACACGTTTATACAGGTCGTTGGTCAATGTGGGGACGTTTATTACAGGTAAAATATTACAGCGACAATATCCATTTTATCGGATAATGATGGGATACAAACATTATGATGTTTTGCAATGTTTAGTATCATTATTATGTATATTTGTGCATGCGCTAGTTCATCTAAATACTAAATATTTAATCGTCAAAAGTAATAACGATTCCACACAATTTTTTGTTTGAAATTATATAGATTTTTTTTTTAATCCAAATAAGACAAATTAATATAGGAAAACTTATAAAACAAATCAAATAAGATACATAACTATATAGAGCTGCCTAAAGCAATTTAAGGATTAGAAACTGTCAGGATATGTTCTGGAGTATTACTGTCAGAATCTTTTCCAGAACAGACCAGTTTGAATAAGATCTAGGGTGGAACTGTCCAACACTATTCTTGGGTAGAAGTGTCCAATACTATTCTAGGGAAGAACTGTCAAACACTTGTTTCAGGGTGCATACACTATCGAACTGTCCAAAAATGTCTATATTAGAACTGTCCAAAAATGACTATGTTAGAACTGTCCAAAAATGTCTATGTTAGAACCGTCCAAAAATGTCTATGTTAGAACTGTCCAAAATGTCTATGTTAGAACCGTTCAAAAATGTCTATGTTAGAACTGTCCAAAAACGTCTATGTTAGAACCGTCCAAAAATGTCTATGTTAGAACTGTCCAAAAATGTCTATGTAAGAACTGTCCAAAAATGTCTATGTTAGAACCGTCCAAAAATGTCTATGTTAGAACTGTCCGAAAATGTCTATGTTAGAACTGTCCAAAACTTGTTTCAGGGTACATACAATATCGAACTGTCCAAAAATGTCTATGTTAGAACTGTCCAAAAATGTCTATGTTAGAACTGTCCAAAAATCTCTATGTTAGAACCGTCCAAAAATGTCTATGTTAGAACCGTCCAAAAATGTCTATGTTAGAACCGTCCAAAAATGTCTTTGCTAGAACTGTCCAAAAATGTCTATGTTAGAACTGTCCAAAAATTTCTATGTTAGAACTGTCTAATACTTTTCTAGTGTACAACCACTTCTGTCAAGAACTGTTCTACACACTGTTCCTTTTAAGGATGTTTACTCCTCTGTTTCAAAATAACAAGCTATTTAAAATACCATTATAAATTGATAGTTTATAAGTAACGGTATTTAAAAAGCAGAAAAAATTATAAGTCTGTGTCTTTGTATTTAAGATATAATCATTTGAAAATTTGGCGGGAAATGATTCTCTCTAGACTTTTCATACATTTATCATTGGCTCCTTTTTTCTCTAAAAAAAATGAAAAAAAAACATGGAATTTTATAAGATTTTCAAAAATGGCCTTTAAAAACTATATGTTAAAAATTTATAAAAAGAAAAGTAGAGGGTTAGCGGGGAAAATTTGTATTGGCACTAGATGGATAAAACAAGAGGATTCCGAATATCTGACAAAAAGTCTTAAACAAGAGTAGCGAACATCCTTAAGAGAGGTTAGAACTGATCATGATCCTAAGTGTATTGTTACCCCTTTCTATTTATTTTGAAAAACTACATATTCCTTAAATGATCA